GTACTAAATTCTAAGCCAGAGAACAGTGGATGGAAATCCAAGGGAAAATATAATTCACCTCTGTAGGGTAGAGAAGAATCTGTACATTCGAAATCCACACTCACTTTTAAAGTTTGGTCTAGAACTACACCGTCACTGTGCCTTAAAGCCTAATCCAAAAATTTTCATCAAGGCATCTGGAGTTTTCCAGAAGAAAATCTTAGCCACAGCTGCCTGTTTCAACAGCAGCCTGGCCAGAGGGTGGTGGGTCAAGTGAGAACAGGAGGAAGGGGAGACGATTAGGAGCTGCCGACATTTTGAACATGTGAAGGGGTGTGTGCTGTGTTCCTTCTGCTTTATGAGTCATGAGATCAGAAGGACCAATTGTGAAACCTCATTTGATTGCAGTGTATGAGATATTTTGGGTCCTCATCACATGGACACCAGTGGCCATCCAAAGAAGCCCACTGTGAGGGCACAGACAGTGTCACTCGGATGGCTGGCAAGGGGAAGGAAGAGCCTCTGCGGACCTGAGAGACATTTGGAAGGAAGAACAAAATAGAACTCGTAAATGACTGGACAGAGGAAAGGGCTTTGAACCTGGGTAACAGGGAAAGAGACAATCCAAGAAGAGAAACCAACTCTGCACTCTCCCAGGAGGGCCAAGTTACCCGTCTAGGGGAGGAGAAGGAAGGGCTTAGTGAAAGGCATGTAAAATTGAGAGGATTTGGCTGGAAACCCAAACAAAACAGCCAGTAACTCAGTTCCAAGGTGACCCAGGGCCTCCTAAGAACCAAGGCCTGGATCCCCCAGGGTTAGCACAGGCCGACCTGGAGGCTGCAGCTGACTGGCCGCATGGAAGTTTCAGGCCAACTCTGCGAACAATTCATTTGCAAGTGTGAACAGTTATGAGCTCCCAGGGTAGGGTACAGGGAAAGAGACTAAGGGGACCGAGGCCTTCGGAATAAGGATGTTGAAGGAGTTGGAGGGAAGGCACGTGAGTGACAGGGCCTCAGGTCAGTCACCGAAATGAAAGGGCAGAGGGGAAGATGGGAGGGGCAGGAAGAGGGAGGCTAGGGAGGCTGGGGAGGCTGGGGAGGCCAGAGAGGCCAGGGAAAAGGATTGGAAAGAGGAAAGAGAGAGACCAGAACCAGGACCCAGACAGGAAGAGGCTGCATACCCACATTTACGTCCATAAAGACTGTAAAACTGATAAAGTCACATTTAGTGAGCACAAAGGAAGAGCACAGAAATGTTTCCTTCATAACAAAAAGTAAATAAATTCTAGCGCCTGTCACACTGATTCATCTCTTGCATGTGGGTCCTCAATAAATGTTAATTGAATTAATAACATTTGCTCAATGGTAATAAAAAATTAATTAACTGTCCATCTTTCTGTTACTTAGTTTATGCCCAGTGGTTCTTGCAATTACTTCTAACCCAAATAGGAATTTTCTATTTCACTGAGGTTCATGATACGCTTTAATTTTTTTTTTCTAAGAACTAGAGAAGTGCTCCTAATTTTTGTCCTAATTTTGGTTTTTTTATTCTTCTGTTGAAAAAAAAATTGTTTTCCTGAGTTAATGTCAAGAACTATGTATAACATCCCAAATATAGTTTCTCGCGCCTTATTTAATTCCAAAATAGTTTTCTCTGCAGAAGATGTGCTGCCACTGTTCATGTGCTTCTCCTTTTAGCTTTTTCTACTTTATGATACTTTGGGTACAATGTCAAGTAACACCGTAGAGGAAGGAATCTGGGGACATTATTGCTAGCATTCCGTCTTCAAAAAATGGAAGATGTCAGTAACGTTCACCCAAAAACTGTGACTCCCTTCAGATGTCAGAATTCTGGGCTGAACAGACTGAGTTCTGGAATGTGTGTGTCAGATGATTCTTTAATGAGCAACAGATAGCTCCCCCTGGGGAGTGAAAAAAATAAAAATATAAACAGAGAGATCGAATTAAAATAACTTTATGAATGGCAGTTCAACTTCTCCACAAAATCCTCTCCGTACAAGCCTCGTGTGCTCCAAATGGTTGCTTAATGTAGCACCACTTACATTCAAAATGCTATACTTAAAACTGTCGCAAAATTAAAAAGAGAATCATATACCACTTGGCTGTATGCTGCGTTCTCCCCGTGTTCTTACATTCCAGTAACCTCTATCCAACTTTTTTTTTTTGTTCCTGAATTACTTTGTGCAAAAGCAATTTAAATTACATGCAACCTGACTATTTATGATAATTTGAACTGATTGTTAATTAATTCTATTAAGTAAATAGCTGCTTGCAATCTCCGTTCTCATCAAGGTTTCGTTATCTATCAGCTCTTTCTCAGCTGAGGTCTTCAAAACAGCTGTGACTGAACAGGCAGGTTTCCCCAAGTGGGCAAGAGACTACTTTTACCTTACAAACATCGATAAATGAAATGAGGCTTCTTTCCAAGCTGGCTTTGGGGTAGGGGATACACTTCAGGACTCAGAATGCAGGGGTTTTGCTGAAGAACAGTTTCATCAGTTAGGGAGCTAAGGCGAAAGCTAACAATGAATCAGAGACGTCTTGTGGAATGCAAAAGAGACAAGGATAAGAGCAAAGCTTTGGGAACCCACTGGCCCTAGGTTCGAATTCCAGCTCTAACACCAACTGATGAGCAGGCCTTGGGCAGCTCACCTGGACCAGTGTTCTGAGTCCTGATTCCTCTCATTCATCTGTTAACTGCAGGGACCAACTTCTGCTTCAGCCATCTGCTCCAGGAAGGGAGCAAGGCATACTCCAAGCATCACAGAGAGCATGAGTGCACGGAACGTGGCATAAGATCCACCAAGCTGCACGTGTACATTCCAAATGGGGACAATCCTGTCCCATAGGGGACATTTGACATTGTCTACAAACACTTTTGATGGGCACAATCTAGGGGGACAGGTGCTACCCATTGGGTGCTACTGGTGTCCAATGGGTACAGGACAGGGATGCAACTAACCATCGTATCTGGCCCAACATGTGGATCTTGCTCCAGAGGGTCTCACACTGTGTTTGACAGTCCATCTTTTTGTGACATTGGTTGGTTACTGGGGGCTTTGATATCCAAAGAAGAAAAACAACCTTATTTTCCTCTTCATCATTATTATTACTTCATTAATTTGGTGAATCCCTCTTGCATGGAAGAAGCCTAGAATTTCCCCATCTGTGGAGTCAATTCGATTTCAATATTCAACACTGTGCTAATTGCTGTCAACAATAAATGTTTCCCTGGTCCCCATCTTTCAAAGGTGGATTAAACTTGCAACCAAGAGATTTAAAACCAGCAACATACAGGGAAGGGAATAAAAATGAAGCATTTTTGAAAACCAAGGCTGTTTGGAAAATCATAAACAAAAATGGCCTAAGATGACTATATATAGCAAGCCTACTATTAGGCCTCCTGCCAGTTCTGAACCACCAGAGAGCAACTATAGCCTGGCCAGTCTCTGAGAATCACTGACTCACATCTGTAGGATGTTCCCTCTCCTCTATTCACAAAAGTGAGAGGTCCCGGGGGTCCCCAAACTGGACTGCCTATGGGGAGTTTTAAAAATCCTCCAGGGATTATGAGATAATTGGTCTGCTGGGAAGGGAGGTGTCTGACCTCTAAAAATCAGTTCAAATTTTTAGATTTCTCAAGTGATTCTACTACATAGAAAACTGCAGAGATTTCCATTTGCCCCAAATGAAGACGCACCTTGGGATGGGCGAGGAAGATGGGCATGGCAAGGATGCTTTCCTTGCTGTGAGCTGCATTTGAGTGGTGAATCATGCCAGGTTGCCAATCATCATCTTTGTTTCAGTGGCTCAGTGGGCACTAGGCAGTCAGGCCCTGGGCTGGCTGTGGGAATGCCATTCCCAGAACCCACCCTTACCACTCCCGGAAGTGTCACCAAACTCCAGAATCATAGATGTCCCTGGGAATCCCCAGGCTGCATGTTGGAGAGGAACTTCTTCTGTTCCCTCTCTTACCCATCTCAGGACTCTGCTTATTGTGGAGGTGAGTTGTGCTAACTGCACCTCTGTCCATCCTGGGCTTCACTCTGCTCTCACATGCTTAAAGGATGTGTCTCTTTCAGGCACTTCTGATCACTGTAGTGTGCATAGTCACTGCTTTGCTAATCTGTATCATGCTTTGTCACTATTAGTACTCAGGTCCAACCTTGTACCTGTCACATAACAGACTCCAATTATTATGTAGCTTGGGTAGATTAAACACCAGAGTCCCAAATGCAAGAAACGCAGGCCTTCCCATCTTCCTCTCCACCTCTTCAAATAGGAATCTTCATTAGGACTTTTGCTAGAAGTTCCTTGAACATCTCTGGCATTTGCACCAGCTGATTCCATGGAATAAGGTATGTCCCCGGGAAGCACACCCCCAAATCCAGGAAGCACACCCCCAAAGCCACAGAGGTGATCACCTGGCAAGGGACCTAGCAAGTGCCAAGGCAGAGAAAGGGGTGGCAACAGAGCTTCTTAGGAAAAGGAGTAGGAAGGGGCCGTGGAATAACTCAACAAAACGTGACACCATTGATAGAGGAAAACGTAATAAAGGACCTGATTGAGGGCACACCTGTAACTCAGCAGGGCTGCCCAGCAGTTAAGACCTTGTCCCTGTGAATCAGATCCTTGATGCACCACCACAGGGTGCTGATGACCTCCTAGGAGATTTGTTGATCTGAGGGAATGAATTCCTTATTTCTCCCTGCTCATTAAAACACACACACACACACACACACACACACACACACTCAAAAAAAAAAAAAAAAAACCCCAAACCTGTAGTACAGATACGTGTTACAAATTAATGGGATAGGCAGAGCTTATAAAGTGTATAAAATTTAATGATTGTTTTCTATTTTTAGTTGTACTTTTTTCCAGAATAACCCTGCTAAAATACTGCTCCATTCTTGTTCAGCTGACTTTATTCTTATGTTCTAGGATGTGAACTCTATAAACTACAGGAGGTTGGTGTGTGTGCTTTCTTTTCTTGTCTAGATGCGCAACTCACAAATGAAAACTACGCAGATGAGAAACCCATTAATGCTATGGTTATAAATTCAGTCTCTGAATTCAACATCACAGATGGACCAGCCAAGGAAACCCCCAATGAGAAAAAGCTGTCAGCATCCAGCACGTCACTGTCCTCCCTGGAAGAATGTCAGACAGAACGCTCCTACCTCCAAACCAACCCTTCAGAGCGTCAAAGAGACATGGAGGGTATGTCTCCCAGAATCCAACCCTTTCTAAATAAGGCGCCCCAGCCCCCAGCCCCTGCAAAAATCACTACATATGCTGTGAAGAAAAAAAAAAGTCTTTATGAATATTAAACAGCTTGACTTGGATTTGAAATCCCTGGTGAGTGACACATGTCAAGGTCACTTTGCAGTTGTGAGGTGCTTGGCAGATTGTTTGCTCTCAAAGTGGGGAATCAGAGGCGATGTATCTTACATAGTAGGGAGGGGCAGAATCGTTCTTATACAGGGCTGTGAAGTGGGCAGGGGAGAATGGCAGACGTTGCCTTCTCAGAGATGGGATTATTCAGCCCATGGCTCCAGGCAGAGAGGAGAAGGCAGAGTGGACGGGGATGAAAATGCTGGAAGCACAGAAATCGAGGCAGTATCAGATACCAAGATGCTTGCGTCAGCTGTCTCTGAAGAAGGTTTGCTTCCCTTAGGTAATATCACTTTCCAGGCATTCTGATCAGAGAAACCTAGACCAAAGCACCCCAGGCACAACATAAAGGGCACATCATGTTTGCAGAGGCAGTTTCAAATTGATCTCTGCTCAACACTGGGCACCATCAAGTTCAAAGTCTCCGACTCCGCCCCGGCACATACAGAGTTTAACTCAGGTCAAGGTTCCTGTGACCTTCAGAGGGACACATCACTCCAGAGTTCTGCTTTCACTCTCTTGTGTTGCATTTAAAGGAAGGCTGGGGTTTCTCAGAGGAAAACGTAACAGGATATTGATGTTCTCTGCCCTTAAACTCATATTTAATTTTATAGACAAGAAAAATTTTTAAATAAACTTAAAAGCCTATTTTACATCCCACTCATTTAACTCTTGCCTCTGACATTTATTCACTGTACAAAACTGGACACATTTTATTTCTTGTCTTCTATTTTTTAAAATCATCTTTGACTCTCAGTTTCAGTTACATAGCATTACATAGTAGGACTAGTAACACACCATGGCACCTTTGAGGATCAATGAAATAACATGTATAAAGCGAGCACACAGTAGGAATTCAATTCTAGCTTTGGTTATGGTTTCAGTGTCAGGAAGGAAGAAGAGAGAAGACCCCTAACACAGGTTATCAAGGTGGAACTGGGTACAGATGTTGAAGTAGCTTCTTTAGGCTAGAAACTCTAGACCTGATTGCCTGCAGCTGCAGGAGAGATGGGAATGACAATGTGGAGAAGTGAACAGGTGCACCCATGGTACCAGGACAAGCCCGAGAGCAAGTGTCACCTAAAGGTCACTTCTTCTACATGATTCCAGCTGATGGCTGCCAGAGGACACCCAGACCCAGAGTTAAAGATCTTGAAGCATTCCAAGAATAGTCAGAGGTTAGGATGAGAAATTTCTGAATTTCCCACTGTTGGGAGCTCATTCTATCTATTTGATGGAGTGCAAGACACTCCCACAGACACATCTTGGAGCTGACTTTGGCGTGCAGACCACAGTGCCCATCCAGAATCATACTCAAGTTTCTAGCTTTGGCAGAAGTGAACACCAGTCGGGAGAACGGGCAAAGCAAAGGAGTTCTCTGCAAAAGCTTTTCAATACTGCAGCATTTTGCTGGGTTGTACCAGAAAGCATGTGCAGTGCTCCATGAGGAGTGTTAGTCTCATGGCCCCAGAGGTAGGAACTGCCATTCCACATGTCCACAGAGTAAGATTTTCGTCCCTCCCATCAGGGATCCTGAGAGGAGAAGGACTGGCCTGCTACCATGATATCTGATCCCCCGTGTTAACAGGGCTGGGCCAAAATGATAGCTCCGATAAAATGGCAGTTAATACTCAAAAGCCTCCTACAGAAAAATAACAGCTCACTCTTGGCTAAAAAGAGCAAAGGAGATTCACAAGGATAAATGAATGCAGTGGTTCTCCAAAGAACTGGACTGAAGCCAGCATGAGCCCGAACATTCAGGCTTCAGCTGGTGGCACAGGTAACCACCACCCCCAACTTAGGGCGCCCCCCCTCCACTGTAAAACATCTCTTTCATGCAGTGTTGACACCTGCACAAAGAGAAAGAAACAACTCAGGCTAAAGACCACGGACAGCGACAAGGAACTCATTATCTTAAACAGGAAAATGAAGAGTTAAGTCAGACGCGCTTCGTTTTAGGGAATCTTTGATAGTAATTAATTTAAGGATGCCAAAATTGAGAACCGGGGTCATTGTTCGTACTGAGATAAATACAGAAATATCTTTCAGGAACAGCAGGGAAAACAGAAGGGAAAAGAGAAGATTGCATCCACTTTTGTGTAGTTTGTGGTTAATTTATCTTCAGATGTATAAACGAGTACATAGGAATGGATGCTTAATTGCTAATATCTATTATTTATATACATTGCCCCACTTAAAACAGGATGGAAAAGCCTCACACATGCAGATTCTGTGAAATGTGCCGCATCCATTAGCGTGGTTCATGGTGTGTGCTCTGATGGGAGTTAAGAGGATCTGTACTGCACATCACAGGCCACGGGCTGCGGCACTGCTTTGTTATTAAATCGTGGTTCATCATGTGTGGTCCCTTCCCAGAATAAAATAGGAAAAGTACAGAGAGCTATCTGTACCTGCTTCTGTGTCTGGGTTCTTCTGATTGCAGAAGCATCCCCAGGGATAAGAAAACCAGGGGTACACATGGTATTAGAATCCAGCTCCCTTCTAAAACAATCCTGAGCATATGCCTAATTGATATATAATTTTGAATTTGAGATGTCTCATTCAGGTGGAAGAGGCAAACCATAAATACAAGACACCTCAAAAGAACAGTCTTAATTACAGCATGGGCTACTGAATAAAATGATTACATTTTCTACATTGTAAATTTCATACAATTAAATATAGTGGTGTCACCTTTATAAAATGTTTCAATTTTATAATTATTTCAGTTCATTTGCTCAGAAAAAAACATAAGCACAGATTTACCAAGTATCACCCAAACCTAGTCATTGTGGTTCTAAAGAACTGACTCGGATGTTACTTGTGCTTGTCTGAACTTAAATAGATCTTGACATATTTAAATAGCTATTAAAATTGATAACATCAGGGATGATACCCCACCCAGAGAAAGGTATTCAGTCACTCTTTATTTATTCCTATTCTACCTTACAGACTTTTTTTTTTTTTTTAGAACTTAATATTGGGGGAGTAAGAGCCAATTTTTAGACTTTTCAATCAAAAACTTTTAGCCATCAGTGGGAGCCATGGGGTCCTGAGCCTCATTATGAGGGCAGTTGTGTGAAGCATAGGATGGTTCTAGAAGACTGGATCTGGACTGGCTTCACCTGGCCTCTGTTCTTGTGTTGCTTTGCTTTAGGGGAGAAGGAGGGGGCACTGTTGGTTTTGTGGAGTCACTTCTGTAAGAACCATATTCTTCTGCTCAGTAGGCTAAGACAGGAGGATGGCAAGTTCTAAGCCAGCCTCAGCAAAAGCAAAGTGCCAACAACTCAGTGAGACCCTGTCTAAATAAAATACAAAATAGGGCTGGGGATGGGGCTCAGTGGTCGAGTGCCCCTGAGTTCAATTCCTGGTACCAAAAAAAAAAAAAAAAGGACCATGTTCTTGTAATTTGGATGAGATCTCTCAGTAGCAGGGGTGTGCTTCTGAAGTTGTTTTGGGAACTACAGTTGGCAGCTTAGATGCCTCAGCCCGCCTCCACCTGATTGTGGCACCATGGTGGCAGTAGAGAAACTCAGGAGCAAGGTGCAGGCTGTGGTAGTGGCAGTGAGCCTGGGGTTGACCTCAGGTCCCTTTATGGAACTTCCTTGTATAATTATATTTTCTGCTTTACTTAAACATGATCCTTCCTAATTAAGAGGGACAGGTCCCCCTCTTAATCGACCAATAGCCAGTGTATGTTTAGCACCTCTGAAAGTTGTATCATCTCTCCGTATCCTTGGGGTCTGGGAGGTTCCCTGCGGATGTGAGAGGAGACAAAGCCACCCTGGGAGGGATCTGCCATGGCTTCTTGCTCCAGTCAACACCACTCTGGACTGTGCGCTGCAGGTGTCAAACCATCTTAGGCAAGAAGCAAGACAGCCTGCTGGGCACACTGACAACAGCAAATTAGAGCAGACGCAGGGACCAGTGGCTTGACAGAGGGGCTTTCCTGTGCAAGGAATGTTTGCAAAGGTCCCAGAGGAGCTTTAAGGTTTGTAAGATGAACAGCGAGACAGCCCAGAAGCAGGGCTATGGGAAGGCCCTGCCCTCCTCCTGTGTCCCTGCAGACTAGGGGCAGAGGCACTGCACTAACTTGCAGGCCATGGCAACCAGCCTTACTGACAGGCCACCAGGGATGTGTTAGCCACAACCTCAGGGACAAAAGAACTCCAAGGGGAAGGTAGCGCCCAGAGCCAAGAGAGGGTGTGAGGAACACCCTGGGCTCCCCTTCTCCCAGCTTCCCAGCTCCTCCCGCAGCCTCCGTGAGCCCAGCCATGAACGTCAGAACAGGGAAAACAGAGGACAGCAGGCCGTTGGTAAGTGCAGCGTCCTGCGCTGTGCCCAAGACAGGCAGGAGAGAGCAAGTGTTCAGAGGGCTGAGCTTCCTGCTCCTAGGCTCTGAGTGGGACAGCCTCCAATACCCTCTCCACCAGTCCCTCCTCTGTAAACAGGGAAGGTAACACCACCTCCCCCCAGTGCCTTTCTGAGGCCTGTGTGAGGTGCGCAGAACAGATGGAGGGATGCAGATTGGCCCTTGGTGAATCAGGGACCCCTGACCATGAGAGAGAGGGCACAGGCTTTAGATCCAGAGAGATGAGTCAGGCATCTCTGCTCTACCACCTTAGAAACGGGAGGACTCTGGGCCCTCAGTGCCAACACCTGGACCTTAGTCCTTTCACTGAAAAACAGGGATCGCAAAGCTTCCCACTCAGAATCAGCCTTGGAAAGGCTTTCCTATCTCCTGTGACGTGAAACCAGCTGACAGACTCACTAGGTCAATGCCATCTGAGGGTCTGGCAGTGAAGGAGAAATAAAGCAGGGGCTGTGGAAGGTTCGGCAATGGTGTGGCTTCCAGCGTTTTAAGACAGACCTAAAAGTTTGCTCAGGAGTTGGGTACAGCTGGGGGAGGGTGTGTGACACATCAGAAAGCTCAGCACACACACGAGTCCTGAGCTAGGCTAGTGCCAAACAGGGACGTTCAGACAACGCAGCTGTGGTGTGGTGAGGATTAAGGAGAGCAGGTCCTGGGGTCAGGAAGGAGGAAGAGGCCCAGTGATACGGGGCTTTTAGGCTCTAGCTAGCCTTGGGGACTGGAGGGGGGGTTGGTGGTGGAGTTTTCTAATGTCAGATTACAAATATCACAGCTGCTGAATCTGAAGTGGGCCCCTGTGATTGCAGAATGTTCTCCAGAGGAGGCCTCTGGAGATGGCTGATAGGGCCAGAGCTCAGACAGTGGCTCTGCAGGAGGCAGAGGCCAGAGGGAAACAGGGCAGGATGCAGGGGTGCCCTGGACATGGGGGAAGCAATAAATGAAAGGGAAATGGCAAAGAGTGCCTCCAGGTTCCTGGAGAATTCACCTGGGCATTCAGGAGCCACTCCTAAGAGAAACCAGAGGAGGGACAGGTGTGTGGGAGGGGGGACGAGGAAGGCCCCAATGCAGTGAGGCCTTGGCATGTGAGATGTCCTGCAAACACTGAAGAGGTGTGATGTAGGCCACAGTGTACGTGGTATTCCTTCCCGGGGAACAGCAAGAAGGGTACGAATCACAGGATGTGACTCTGATGTCAATTTACGGACCGTGAGTGGGCAAAGGAAGATGACCTCCTTCAGGTGCAGGGAGACCCCAACACCCCTTCCAAACAGTTGCACTCTTGTCCTTTAACCCATTTACATGACATCTGTGTCAGCCAAAATTGGCTCTATGCAAAACATTTTTTTTTTTTTTTTGCCTACTGGTGAAGAATTATTTAATATGTGATTTAGGAAAAGTACGGAACAAGCCTGAAAGTTTGGAAAAATTTGTTTTCAATTCATTAATGTTACCTTGGTTTTGGGTTTTTTTGTTTGTCTGTTTTTTTGGGGGTGGGGCAAGAGGCTCTGCCTTTTATAAGCAAATAAAAAGGACTGACTTAGAAACAGAAGAAAACCAGCGCTACTCTCAAATGCAAAATAGAAAGGGGCAGAAATCCAATGCCAAATTGGCCAAATGATTAGGCCAAAACTTTCTTTTTCTTTCTCACTCTCTTTCTCTCTCTCTCTCTCTTTAATGAATAAAATCTAAGATCTGCATCAGAAGCAGAGGTGTTCAGAGTCTGTCAACTTGAGGAGATGTTGGCAAGTGTGATTGAAGAAGAATATGTGCCCTCAGGAAACCATGAGGCCCCCATCTTCACGCTACCTATGGCTAGAATCACCAGGTCCTCCCTCACGTCAGTCCCCCTGCCTCCTGCCCTCCTTACTCCAAACCCACGTTGACCCTTGTATGCATAAAGCCCAGGGTCCCTGGGGTCGTTTTTATAGAGTCGTAAGCCTGAGTGGGTCCTCCAAGGGATCATGGAGGACCTCTTGCCCTGGGCTGCTATGGGAGCAACCTCAGTGCTGCCAACATTCATGAGGTCACAGTTGCCACCCGCTCTAGAAAAGCCAGTGCAAATAGAGTCCGTGTCCTGTTACTAACTCACTCTCGAGTTTCTGTGGGTGGTGGGTGCTGATAGGACTGAGATGGCCACTTGCTAGGATCCAGCCAAAGCTAATGAAAACACGCCCAGGCTGGTAAGAGATGAGCACCCACCAGCAGAGGCACTGTGGAAAATGCAGCCTAACTATAAATACCGCATAATGACCACCACACCTGCAGCAATATATGGCAATTAAAGTCATCGTAAAAATCATGGTGTGTTTTATTTTACCACCAGCTCACTGGGAAGGAAGGGGGCGGTGGGAAGGAGCAAGGAAGATCTCAGTTTATCTATACTCAGGATTCACTTTACAGTGTCAGATAGTGCTTTCACAATACGTTAAAACTACTTACTTTATAGCATTTGCTCCTTTTCTGAGCATCTTTACAAGTTCATAAAAGAGAGCAACCTTTTCTGGAAAAGTCGGTTGGAAGTAAATGGACAGGGCAGAAAGCACTTCGATTTCTTTGTGGGGGGCAGGGGGTCTCTTCTGCATGCTCTACAGTCCCGTCCATCCAAGTCTGAATACCCGAAAATCAGTCACATGCCATTGAGAAACGAGATCCTCATGAGAATCAAAGCTTGATCAGTGGATAGGCCCGTCTGAGGGGAATGTTCTGGAAGCTGACTCCCAATCGTCAGCAAACTTCAGATGACATATTTTGATGAACTGGATGACTTATCCCATGAACACTTACCTGCCTTCTCCAAAGAAGCTCACACATGTTTGAAGCATTATAAACTGGAAAATAAGTTATGATTTTAACAAGAGAACTTACATCTTCAACTAATTCCCTTTATGGAAGCCAAAAAAATAAAATAATCTATAACCCGTTGCAGCTGTTTGGCTAGAATTATCAATTACCTTCAGTGCTGCAGAGATACTTCCCAGATTTTTACAAGTCTGCATAGTAAATTTTTAAACCAATTTTCTTAAAGAGGACTGATAAGATTTAAAACCTTTTAGACCTATGATGACGTACTTCGCTTAAACACTTGAATATAAAATCAAGGCTCTGCAGAACTGGAGGGAAAAGGAGACAGGAACTAAAAATGAAACACAACCCCAAAAGCTGTGATTCTTTTAAAAAGCATTTATATTAAGTTTTGAAATGTGCTCTTCGGTTGCATTTATGGGTGTGGTGGATTTCCTGGAATCCACGGTGGAACACATAACAAAGCGTGGTGACAAGAAGTGAGAGCTGGGTAGCCTCTCCTGTCCAGCTCTTGAGGCTCCAGCAAAGGCTCTGCTATTTTTCAAAACAGCTTCAAGGTCTCCAGGTAGGTAGCTAATTCTGTGGCTTCCTAGCACCTCTGTAGGCAAAGTAAATAAAGGAACAGAGAAAAGGAATAGCATTTTAAATAACCTGATGATGTGGAATCAATAGGAAATGCTCAGGAGTTAATAAAGCATTACTTCAGTAGTGACAGTGGTGGCATGGGGGTGGGGCTCAAGTGGGCCAGGGTGAGCTGTCCCCTGGCATGAACAGACAATCAAGAGTCAGCTGTGAAGCCCACTTATGCGCCCCTTGCTGATGCCCCCATAGGTGTTACTATCCATCTTCTTTCTTATTTTATTTTTGTTCATGTGCAATAATAATTTTTATCAGCCATTATTTTAACGGTACATATTTCCAGTTACAGAGTAGTAATTTAGTGCACATATGAGGATCAGAGCTGGGTGGTTAGCAATTCCTTCTCCTTAAACACTTAACAGTGATTCCATTCTCATGTAGTAATGGCATCTCCTTCTTTCAACAGAGGAGTGTGCCTCACTGATCCTCGCCTGTCTGTTCTGCCAGTTTGGGGACTGTCTGCTGATGCTTCCTGACACCTGTGAAGCGGTGTGCACCGGCCTGTGCTTCCCCTCTCATGGGTATCACCATGCCACGGACGAGGAGCACCCGCGTGGGGACTGCAGCTGCAGTTGTGACGTGGACTGCAGCCTCTTTGAGTCCTGCCACGAGACCAGCGAGTGTCTGGAGCTGGCCATGGAGATCTCCGAAATGTGCTATCGCTAGCCTCACCCACCCAGGAGCCCCCACAAGGCCATCAACGGGAGGGGAAATTCCATTGCAAAGAAACAGGGGTTTCCATGTGCCCAAATGCAGGGCTGTATTGCAGTCCTTGGACGCTTGGGGCCATTTCATTCTGCATCTGTCTGGGAAACTTAGCATGGTCCACTCAGTGGTCTCATTCCAATTTCACAAATGCATGGCTTGCTGAAGAGTAAGCGTCTCAATCGATGAGATGAACAAATTGTGAATACCTCCTAAAGGCCATAGGTGTGCGATGCTCCTTGAGTACCCAGTAGCATGCTAAGCTGCTCTGTGCTGCTGCACTGGTCCGCTTCATGGATTCAGCCTCATTCACAAATTCAGGACAGATTAGTGCTTTCTTTCAGCATTGACATACATTAGCTTGCCTTTCTAATGGATTCATGCATAAACATTATGCATTGTTGGTTATTATTAATAATGTATTGTATAACATCATTTTGTAATTAAAAATTTATTTATACAGTCTCTTAAAATTCACTTATAGGTACAGTTTAGGTAGGAAAGGGAATTAAATGAATTAGAAACCATGTTCCTGTAATTACAACAGATGTCTCTGAAGCATCTCCAGTGAATTCTGAACTGGTATACACTTCAGGAGGGTGCTGATGATCCCAGACCATGTTATGGTGTGTGTGTGTGACTTTGTCATCCTAGGCAATGATATTCTCAATTTGTTCCAGAAAGGCTTCTCTTTATTCTAATAAACCTAAATGGGAACAATGTGCATGTTTCAAGAAAATTATCTCTGATACTTGATTATTCCTTTTTCTCATTTCTGTCAGGTATCATAAGCAACAGGATATTAAAACAGAGTCAGCTTATTTTATAAACTCTCCTTTTTTCACCTATCTCCCCATTTTCTCTAGTATTTTATTTTTTTATTTATTCTAATTTGTTATATATAACAGCAGAATGCATTTCCATTCATTGTCCACATATAGAGCATAATTTTTCATATGTTGTACACAACATAGAGTCACACCATTTTGGTCTTTATACATGTACTTAGGGCAATGATGTCCTTCTCATTCTACCACCTTTCCTATTCCCATACCCCCTCGCTTCCCCTCCCTCCCCTTTAGTTCATCTATTCCTCCCCTGTTCCTCCCGCCATCCCCATTATGAATCAACATACTATATCAGAGAAAACATTCAGCATTTGGGTTTGAGAGATTAGCTAACTTCATTTAGCATTATATTCTCCAACTCCATCCACCTGCAAATGCCATGATTTTATTCTCTTTTAATGCTGAATAATATTCCATTGTGTATATATGCCACAGTATTTTTATCCATTCATCTGCTGACGGGCATCAAGGTTGCTTCCACAGTTTAGCTGTTGTGAATTGAGCTGCCATGAACATTGATGTGGCTGTGTTACTATAATATGCTGAATTAATAAATGGGATAAACTCAAACTAGAAAGCTGCTTCTCATCAAAAGAAATTATCAATGAGGTGAAAAGAGAGCCTACATTTTGGGAGCAAATTTTTGCCACACACACACACACACACACACACACACACACCAGATAGAGCACTAATAACTAGGGATATATAAAGAACTCAAAAAATTTAACATCAAAAATACAAACAACCCAATCAATAATGGGGCTAAGGAGCCGAAAAGATACTTCTCAGAAGAAGATTATACAATCAACAAATATATAAAAAAATGTTCAACATCTCTAGCAATTAGAGTAATGCAAATCAAAACTACTATAAGATTTTATCTCATTCCAGTCAGAATGGCAGTTATCAAGAATACAGACAACAATAAATGTTAGCGAGGATGTGGGGGAAAAGGCACACTCATACATTGCTGGTGGGACTGCAAATTGGTACAACCAATCTGGAAAGCAGTATGGAGATTCCTCAGAAAATTTGGAATGGAACCACCATTTGACCCAGCTATCCCACTCCTCAGTCTATATTCAAAGGACTTAAAATCAACATACTCTATTAACAAACTCTCCTTTTAATGGCACCCAAAAGAAACACACACAGGTTCCTATTTAGCCCCAAATTTCCTAAGAGAGCATGTGTTTCAATAGCCAGATTTCTTCTTTGTGCTAAATTGATAAATATTGAATACTTCCTTATATTTACAATGTTTTCTTTAAAAGATTGACATGAAGTGGTTTTCAACTTAATTAAGACAAAAAGTTTGCAGGGAAAGCACATGGAGTTTGAAGTCACTTTGGAATCTGTAGGCCTAATTCTTTAGGTGCAAGGAGGACAATTTCTCATTAGTGCTTCTATATCCCCTGGAGACAGCATGATCATTGGATATCAAGAAGCACAAGGCATCAATAACCAAACGAAGAATAGGAAAGTGAAAGGGAGAGTTGAAAGAGATTTAGGTATTGTGCGGAAATGAGACACACTTCAAAGCACATTTTTTACCTTGCCTTGGGTACTATCAGGAAAACCAATGCTTGTTTTACTTCTACAGTCATCTAGCACATTTTTCCAGTCTGCAATAAATTCCCCCAACATTGAAAACTATTAACCTTAAAAGTATATTTTTTTCAGCTGCCTCCAGAAGGTATTTAACCTCCCTTGAGTTGGCAGGGCATGTGCGGTCAAGGCTGGCCTGGCTCCTGTCGACAGTGGCACTCGCTGTTCACGATACAGAGCAGGAGAGTCCTCAGGCCCTCCTAGAGGCCTCTTGCCTTTAGGAAGCTCAAAAACACAGCTCCAACCTCTATGGTACTCTATGCTCAGAACTTGCAGATGATGAGCAAAAGAAAAGAAAAACATTCATAGGACAGGAGGCAACCCAGAGTTACTCTTCTCCAACATTCTCACATTTTGTGCAAGAAAGAGGAGGCCCCAGAGCTGCTGGGCAGAGACCACACAGGGGGCCGGGCTGGGTGTCAGCACTCTAACTGGGAGTCTGATTTTCTGACCACACAGCCTGTTCCTTAGCTCCCCATGGGAGTCCAGGGACACACAGCAGACAGCTGCAGCCACTGAAGGACAACCCACCAGACAGCATCCTGGACAGCAGTGACTTGAGCCCCCAGCCACCCTGGCCGTCTCTGGGCTCCCCCTCCACTCACCGGACAGCACTAGAGGAACAAGCCTGTGCCCACGGGGCCTCTGCAGCCCTGTGCCCACAACACGGTGCCTGCCATCACTGATCCGGCCATGGCACACTGGGGTTACATATTTCCATCATTGCCTCCTCACTCTATCTGACCCTCATACCCTCAAGTTTTGCAAAGCTTGTGCATTTTAAATGTGAATTGAATGCCTGTCGACTAGAGACATAAAAGCCACCAGATCTTATTTTACACCGTGGTCAGAACACTCCAAAATCTTTCTGCGGCCTCCCTCCACGGTTTGTTAACTTGCGCCTCACTTTCAGAATTCACCGCGCTCTCCCAGAAAGGGTCGGTGATACAGAGTGTGAAATTTCTTTTCTTTATAACCAATAATAAAACATCATCCATCTTGCAATCATGAATGACTGTTTCAATTGAATTTTTACATGATAAAACACACACAGCTGGGGACCCACAATTGTAGGGGTAAGATCACAGAAGAATGCTGTTATTGATTAAATACAAATATCAGGATCTGAGAAGGCTCTGTATTTTATGTCATGGTGAACTTGTGATTAGTAATCATGTTGTTCTTTAAGGTGGGGCTTCCCAGAAAATAGAGCATTCTGATTGAAGGAAGAATGCTCGAATAAAAGACACCTGAGAACATACAACCTGTACAAGAACTGAGAACACAATTTCTCTTCCCCACAGCAACAGAACCATGGAGTTACATCGTCTCTGCTTGACTCAGTGGATTTCTATAAAGCCAGTGCTTCTCTAAAAGCCCCCCAAATATGGAAAGCAATGAAGAAATGAAGTTATGTTTAATTTACTAATGAAATCTTCCCACTACATGAGCTGATACAACGTTAATTATGAATGCTGAACAATCAATGTTAATAGAGTAAAAGTAGCTTTCACTTTTTCCAAGGGAACAAGAAAACACATCCAGGCAGAGAAACGTGACAAACAGGAAACATGATGTGAAAACATTCCAGCATTTTTTTCCCAAGCATAAACATAAGTGGGAAATTGTGGGATAGATTTCATTACCCAGTGCTGGTTAGTTTCCCCTCTACAAAATGAAAGAAAGAATAACGTGCCGTGGTAGCTTTTCTGTAACTGTAACAAATACCTAGGATAATCGACTTATAAAGAGGAAAGGTTTCTTTCTGGCTCACAGTTTTAGAGGTTCCAGTCTGTGATCAGTTGCTCTTGGACTTGTGGGGAGGCAGCACACCATGGTGGGAGCATATGACAGAGCAAGACCACTCACCACGGGGCCAGGAACTACAATGGAGAAAGAAGAAAGGACCTGCCATCACTTTCAAAGGCATGCCCCCCACCCAATGTCAGAAGACCTCCCATGAGGCTCCACTCCTTAAAGGCACCACAGCTTCCCGAGAGCACCATGCAGGGGACCAAGTCTCCAGCACGTGGGCTGTATCAGACATTCAAGATGCAAAGCTCTGCCACACACTCTCAGGGACGGGCACTGATCCAGCCATGCCACATTCTAAGGGTCATCCAATGCCTGGTCCTCAGGCCCTGGAGACAGGTGGCCTTTGATGAAACTTAGACACTTGGCTTGCTAGCTTGTGGGATGTTCTTTGAAGAGGAGACCGAATAAAAGCCCACACTTGCCACACTCAGCTTCATGTGGGCTGGGTAGAGAGGCGACAGAAGAGGAAAAAACGGATGACTTACTAGGGATTATAAACTATGCAGGACAGAGACTCTGTTACTCCTCAAAGTGAGCTCTAGATGGCTCCTAATATTTGAGACAGAGCCAAGGATGCAGGATAGGTGAGGAGCAGGGTGCAGCCTGCTGCATTATGTGAACAGAAGTGCCACCTTCTGGTCGGCCACCTATATGTGCCAACTGTCTGCTTAACCACCACCTGTGAATCAGTGGCTCTCACCTGGGGGCAGTTTTACCTCTCTCCACACTTGCTTTTATTTAGTTTGATTTTATTGATAGATACAGACAGACAGACAGACAGGGTCTCACTAAGTTCCTGAGACTGTCCTGGAATTTGTGATCCTCCTGCCTCTGCCACCTGAGTAGCTGGAATCACAGGTGTGCACCACTGTGCCCTACTCCTCTCTTCCCAAAGTCTAGAAATATGATTGGTTGTCAAAATGGAGTGTGTGTGTGTGTGGGGGGTGAGGCTGTATCTAGCCCCAGTGGGCAGAATCCAGGGACAATGCTGAGCACACTACCATGAGCAGGGCAGTCCCAAAATAAAGAAAGACCCACGTGTCAGGAGGGCGAGGCTGAGGAGCCTGCTTGGAAGACCTTCATCAGTCTCAATTAGCCATCCCCACATTTACCCCAAAGAACTGTGAAGAATAGAGTGGCCAGATAGAATGCACCATGCCCAGTTATCTTCGAATTTCAGAAAAGCAACAAGTAATATCTTAATATAAGCATGTCCCCACTATTGCAAGTGACCTGCATATACCACAAAAATCACTCCTGATTAATCTGCGATTCCAATGTAACCAGGTGTCTTGTATTTCCACTTGCAAATCTGCAACCATTGTTCAAGGCACTCCATGTCTTGAGAAGGGATCTGCAGGTGCCAGAACCTTGAGCTTTCTCCTGGCCTCCATTGGAGGAGGGTTGCTTTGTCTCTTGGCCATGGTTTGCACCGATAGTGTAATGCATGACAGGTTGGGGCAAT